TTGCTTTTGTATATAAATTTTGATCTCAGCTCAGGGCGACTTGCTCGTTTCCTCCCGTTTTTGGCTTCAGCCCACCCTTGTTTTGCAATTGATCTTGATCTCAACTATCGTATGTTCTGTCAAATAATTGAATGAATGAATGTTATGTTTGTCGTTTTTCTTTTGTCTGGTCCTTGCCTTTGCTTGCCATTTTGCAATACCCATAAGCATAGTAGAAACTTTTGCATATCGTCATTATTGCTTCCATTATTGCTTATCACTTTGATCCGCTGTGGTTACTGTGATGTCGGATGTGTGATAACACCTTGCATGCTCGGGGATGATTGCTTGAGGGATCACGGAGGGATTAGATGATTGGGTAGTTGTTTACGGCACATGGCGATTTTGCATAAGGAATTAGACTCTCATTCTCCCAGATACAGGAGAATACCTCGCGGGGATACGTATAAGCGCGATTCGATCTGCGCAGCCTACACGTATCCACGCGCGCCGATTCGCGACCATTGACGAGCTTGACAATCTCCGGTATCGGGTAGGTGGGAATTTTCCTTCCCCCCACGCACCTAAACGGATAGGAATTTCCGATATCATATCGGGAAAACCCCTTTGTCAGTTAGATGCGTGCGGAAGACTTCCACTACCCCCCAATGACAAGATGCCGAGCTCCTGGGACTCAGAGTACTTCGACCCTTGGGTGAGATAATGTATTAGGCAAAGATACTCGGAATTCCCTTGCCTAACCGAGAATCGATTGTGCCCCAGGGAGTTTCACTGTGCCATAACCAGCGATCCGAGGTGCCCCGATTTTCCCACTATGGATAACACGCAATACTTCATATCCCCCGGCTTCGTCGTTATCACTACCAATTTCCCTCCCTTCCGTATCCTCCTTCCATATCATCAACTCACAGTGGTTCCATGGAATTCCACCGCCCCGTATTGGCCCCGCACGCCTTGCGGAAATTGCCGGCGACGCGGCAACCGACGAGCCTCTGAGACTACGGGGCCTTACGAAAACGCGCGACGACAGACGCCACGTGTCTGCACCGGACGGTCCGACTCATTGGAATCACAACCATCCTGGACGGGCCTCTTCCCGAACCGCCGCCACCAAAACAGAAGGATCGGATGACCTTGAATGCACCGCGCATGCCATCTGCCTTATGCTGCACGACCTCAACTGCCATCAGAGCGGAAGTAACTCGGCCCCCTTAGCTCTATTGCATCTATGCCCCTGAAACTTTGCCACAGGAGATCTCAGTTCCGACCTGGGACTCCACCCCCACTTTCCCCAAAAATCCTTGGCACACCCCTTTTCGCACTTCCAGGCCCACATCCCACTCCGATCAGGAAGTCGCGCTGGGCGTGAGGTTCTGGGCGTCACAGTGTGTTTGGGACTCTACTGATCTGGAAAAGAGGATGGAAACCCAGAACTGGAAGGTTTTTCAGAACCCACAGACCGTGGAAAGACGTTGCGGGAAAGGTGTCAGAAGCGTTTCTACTCAGTTGGCGGCCTGGAAACCGAAGCGCGCGGCCTTCCAGGACCTTTCCAGAAATGCCTTCCAACCCAGTGGGGGGGGGGCATGTTCTCCCGTGGAAAGAAGATGCCGAGCGGGTGTGGTCCAGCTGACGTCACGTCGGACCGTTTCATGGGCGGGCAAGCCCCCTCGGAGATGCACTGCCCTGTCGCACAGTTCCTATGTGGGCCGTTGTGTGTGCTGGTCCAGGGACGGACGAATTTGGTGAACCGCAATCCCATCCCAACTTTCCTTTTCTGGGGGGGAACCCTCCAACGTTTCCTTTTGGGGTATGTTTTGCTGTTTCCAGAGCTTTGGAAATACTTCGGCGGTGGGGTCCCACAGAAACCCGCCAAAGTCTTTCCGCGGTGTTTCCACCGCTTTTTATGGCCATCCACGTTTTCCACCGTAGGCCTGTGTGAGCAAGGAGGCGGATGCGAGACGCGGACGGGGCAGACGGCCGGCAAGGGTCCAGCTTCAGTCCTCCCTGATTTATTTTTAGCTCATTGCCTTCTCTCGTTGCCCAAACGACGGATCTTCAGATCTCGCTCCTCCTCTGGCACCGGCTTCAAGTTGGCGAAGACGCGCGAATCTTTGTACCATATCAGTTAGTCAGAGAGAAAGAGAGCCGAACCAGCCAGGCGGAGGAAGGGAGGAGGAGGGGCGCGGCGGGGGGAGAGGAGGAGGGACGACGCAGGCGAAGCACGAGCGAGACGAAGCATCTCGCGCCGCGGCCGCCATGGCTTCGGTCACCTACAAGGTCGCCCAGGATGGCTCTGGGAACTTCCGATCTGTCCAAGAAGCAGTTAATGCTGTGTCGGAGAACAACCGCAATCGAGTGCTCATTTATGTCAAATCCGGTGTGTACCACGAGCCGGTGTACATCCCAAAGCGGCGATATCACATCATGCTGATTGGAGAGGATGCCCACACGACCGTCTTGTCGTACGACAACACAGCCACGAAGATCAACCATCCCTTTGGGGAGAACGTCCGCGGGAAAGGCACCTTCGGTTCTGGTTCTGTGATCGTGGAGGGCGATGACTTCGTCGCTCAGAACATCACGTTTGCCAACACCGCGCCGCAGGGATCGGGACAAGCTGTGGCGTTGCGGCTGTCGGCGGATCGCTGTGCGTTCTACGGATGTCGGTTCCATGGCTGGCAAGACACGCTCTACTTGCACCGAGGTAGGGTGTACATCAAAGACTGCTATATCGAGGGCAGCGTGGACTACATATTCGGTAATGCGGCAGCATTTATAGAGAAATGCCACGTGCACAGCAAGTCGGACAAGGGTTTCGTGACAGCTCAGCAGAGGAGGGAGCCGTCGGAGGCGACGGGATACGTGTTCCTCGACTGCGTGTTAACGGGAGATAAGAAAGGGAGCTCCTACTTAGGACGGCCATGGGCTCCTCATGCCAGAGTACTCTTCGCTCGGACCTACTTGAGCGATGTCGTTCATCCTGAAGGCTGGCATAACTGGGACGATCCGCAGAAGGAGAAGACGGCGGTGTACATGGAGTGGAGATGCTGGGGTCCAGGAGCAGATAGATCTGCCAGAAAGAGATGGAGCCGCGATATCAGTGACCAAGAAGCAGCGCAGTACATCAAGCGATCCTTCGTCGACGCCGAGGGGACATGGTTGAAAACCTTGCCGGAGAAAATACCCAGCTCGGCGTTGCACCACAACTTCCTCAAGTGAGCTCGGGGACCGCTCACCTGTGCCTCGGCTTCACGGCGCCGCCGCCCGCCGCCCGCCGCCCGCCGCCGTCGATCATCCTCCTCATCCACGTGAACACCCATCCACGGCCGTCGTCGTTCATTCTAATGGATCGATACCTCTCGTCGTCGATGCCAGCCATTGTACTGCACCGTTGCGATCAAGGACGTTCTCGAGACTCGACCGCCATATCTACACTCCACCCGACGCGATCCGAGCTCGCACACACACAGTGTCACACAGTCGCGCTTTTTTTGGGTGGAGTTGTGTATAACGAACATGACAACACACACACACACACACACACACACACACACACACACACAGAGAGAGAGAGAGAGAGAGAGAGAGAGAGAGAGAGAGAGAGAGAGAGAGAGAGAGAGAGAGAGAGGTTGTTCGGTGCACCCCTCTCGTGCATTGTCTCTGTCTGTGTCTCTCTCGTTCATTCGACGCCGTGTACTCTCGAGGTCGTCAGGCTAAGTTGCGGCCTCGTTTGTACTGTCAATCTTCGGGATCGCATTGGTTCACAGCGCAATGCTGATACGGTCTGTCTGCTTATCCGTGAGACTTTCTTCCTTCCCTTTTCTCTCTTGATCAGCTGCTAGGATGTCAATGCTACCCATTGCCATACTGAGCACAATCACGTTAACGCTGCAAATGACATTTACACGCCGTTTAAATAGCTTGGTAGATAGATAGATAGATAGATAGATAGATAGATAGATTGGTTAAATTAGTAATAAGAAAGGACTGCCATGTTGCATTTCGTTGCAGTCACTTGTTTAGGATCAAAATTACCAAATTACCCCGTCCCCGTCACGGGAGTCGATGTGGACCGAGAGCCTCGAGAGGAGGTGATGTGCAAGGCCGTGCTTCAACTGAGATAATGCAATATATCTCGCTCCAAAATGTCGGTATGAACTGCGTTCCGGTTTTTTTTTTTGTTTTTTTTTTTTTGTTTTTTTTTTTTTTTGGACCGTTTCTCGATTTATGCGTGTCAGCTCTTAGACTCTTGGACGCTCGAAACGCACTCGGCACTTCGCGTTCTCCGTTGTTGCCGACTAAAGTGCTGCTGCTTTTTGTCGACCGTTTTTTTTGGCGGACGGGGGCTTCGCTCCTCGAGTGGCGTCATAACGTCTTCCGTTTCTGTTCTGGATTTTTTTTCTAGTTTTCTTTTCTGTGGGCGATTCTGAGATCGGCGTGTTTGTTATTGGAGGGTTTAGTTCGTTCTCCAGCCGCCGCGAGTTGTGATATAATGCGAGCCAGCGTCTGGCGCGCTGTTCTTATAGCGCCGTCCCTGTCATGATTTCATTAGCCGAGATTGAAGGGTGAAGGGGAGAGTGGTCGTTCTTTCTTTTCAGCGATGCCATGTATTAGGGTTCTCGAGTCGCCGAGAGTCGCCGAGAGTCGCCGAGAGTTGTGATTGATACCGAGGCATGGAAGCAGCTTCAGGAGAGTTGTTCTTGTGGCGGTCGGTCACGATTTCTTGAGCGGATGGAGTATTCTCTCGAGTGGTGTTGGGTTCTCTCAAGTGACGTAATCGGATGAGTACTGGCATCTCCGTATTTACACGGAATGCGAGTGTTCGTAAAGATGTCACGAGAAAAAAAAAAAAAAAAAAAAAAAAAGAGAGAGAGAGAGATTGGTGACCTCGGGCGGATGAGTTTCCAATTCAAAGCAAAAAAAAAAAAAGAGAAAAGAAAAAAAGCGTGCCATCCTTTAATCTTCATTCTCTGAAATCGTGACAGACCGCCACAAGAGACGCGGAAAAAAAGAAAAAGCGTGTCATCCATGCTAATCTTCATTCTCTGTATCGTTCCAGTGTTAACGGATGTCCCCAAATTTGAAGGACAATTGCGTTCCGTTTTGAAGAGCGAGGAGGGGAAGGGCTATAAAAGGCGACAAGATAAATGAGCGAAATAACGGCTCATGTTCGTTCAAAAAAAAAAAAAAAAAAAAAAAAAAAAAAAAAGCGTATACAGAACATTGGGCACACGTGAGAGTCTGCCAAGAGGGCATTAGGGAAAAAAAAAAAAAAAAAAAAAGCAAAAAGGGCAACAACTCTTTGGACGTGAAAGCAGCTGGATACAGAACATCGGGCAGAAGTGAGAATATGCCCTCCCAGCGAGGCGACTGGTACCGCTCGAGCTCGAGCGGCGTTCGCGTGCGAGTGCGATCATAGCGGAAGATGACGAACTACCTAACCGAACTCCGCCATAGTCGATGCTCTACAGGTATCATGGTGGATGGGCAGTGCCCCAGCTATCGGTAGCCCCAGCTCTCGGTAGGGCTTTCGGGGGGGTGGAGACAGCCTGAACAGTGAGCGCGTAGGGGCCAGGGCTATGGGCCTCGCTCCGCTACTCTCGACATGCACAAAAGACAAAAATCATGGCGGCGTATATTTCCATGTTCTAGCAGAAGATTCACTCTCAGTTTGCACATTTCGAGAGTAGCGGAGCGAGGGCCTATGTCCTTCCGTCCTGCCGCGTCCTTCTAGAGTCATAACGATGATGAAACGCCGGGAGAGCGTTTTGTCTCCAGCTTACTGCGGAAGAAGATTCTCTTCTCCGCGGTTATTTTTACCTTCTGCTTTTAGGGCTTCAAATTACTGAAGAAGACAGCGGAGCTCTCGCTGCCCTTTTGACTGTCCTCTGGATTTGGTCCTTTCGTGATCATGTCATTCATGTCATACTGGCATCGCCAATGGGGATTGAACCCACGACCTCCCCGCAAGCTTGGTATTCTACCAGCTAGAGATAACCCGTTGGCCCCCCAAGCCACCATTGGCAGGACCTTGGTTGATGTTGTTGGTTGCTATGCAGCTACAATATTGGCCATTAAAAAAAAAAAAAAAAAAAAAAAAAAAAAACAATATTGGCCATTAGACACGGCCATGTGGGGTCTGGGGGGGGGTAGGGGGAGGTGCAATGACTGGCCATTGCTCGGCGCTAGCACCGCCGAGATCCCCCATCGGCAATGCCTGCCCACCCCTGGTCACCATGATGAGGGACTGGTACAGCCTTGTTCTCGGGGACTGGTACAGCCTTGTTCTCGCACCACTGCTGTGGTGCCAACCTACCCCCTGGGCTGGGGAGAGATCCCGGTTGGTTGGTGTTCCCCCGTACTACACGTACACTAGTGAGAGGATGAGATAGATGAGTACTAGCAAGAAAAAATGAGATAGATGAGAGAACAATATAGCTTTTAAAATAATAATAATAATAATAATAATAATGGGCATAGCTGCTCTACACGGAACTCTACATGCATTTGGCGGCTTTCTGGACCAGCTGCATTGGGATGAGTCCAACATTTTGAATGTGGCGGGTCGAGAAAGGGTCTAAATGCATGTAGAGTGCTCTCTAGTGCAGGGAGGCCCAATGTTCCTTATTTTTTCGGGAATTAGAATTGGGATCATTCTGTCTTCGTCTTGGACGAAAGTCGTTCTCCCTTTCGTCGGACCTATGCCTTCCAAATCGCCTGCACACATGCCTTTTCTCTCCTTCGCTAATGTCCGTTCCTTCCCTCTCGAACGAGTGAACAGCCCTATGCAGTGTCGGCCCGTCCGTACTCCCGTACGACTGTACATCCCGCCCTCAGCGCCCGTATGGCCCGTACGTACGGACTTTGGGCCCTCCGTATGTGGCCTTCCAGGGGGGTGTTGAGGGGGTGGTTGGGCTGGAGGGGTGTCGGATGTCCTGGGGTACCCCCCCATTCAAAGAAAGTCCCCGGTGTAAAAAAAAAAGAAAGATTGATTGATTGATTAACTGGATGATTGATGGATTGATGGATTGATTGATTGATATGCAGTGGGGGGGTCGCCTCCCCCTAGAGAATACACACACACACAGACACACACACACACACACACACACACACACACACACACACAAACAAAAACAAGCGTGGCAATGTATACTTCCATGTTCTAGCAGTAGATTCATTCGATTTCGGTTTTTTTTTTCTCTTTTTTTGACAGCGATTTTTTTTCTTATTAAAAAAAAATAAAATACTACGGGGCCCCTTGAGACCCCCCCTACCATCCTTGGGGGTTATAACCCCCCCGCCACCCCCCCACCGGGCCCTGGCACGCTCGGACGGAGACTGTTTGTACTCCCGTACGGCCGTTCGTAGGTCCGTACGTACGGTCCATACGGAGATGCCCTGTACGACATACGGGGTACTACACTGGCCGTATGACACTCTCCTCGAACGGACCTAACTCTGCCTTGGCAACAGTTAAGTCCCTTGCCCCTGGATAGGGAAGACACAACAACCAATCCCGACTCCTTCGAGGATCACGAACACGTGAATGACTCCAAACCAGGGGTTTAGCTCACTATCCGAGACACTCGCTGTTCCTAGGTAATGATTCCTTCCTGGTTTGTGGCTCCTAGTGACAAGCGCCTTGCACTCGATGATGCAGAGCTCCAGATCTTGCACTCTTCCTTACCACACACATTCTTGTTGCAACTTGACGACACTCTATAAACTAATACCAAGTAACTACGGAGATTCCTGTATCATTTCGGTAAGCAGGGTTGCCAGGCCGAACGTACGGAGGCCCCTAAGCTGAGGCCCGAGCGTTCGGGCTTTTGGGTCCTCGTACGGGGCCCGAATCCGAAGGGGTTCGGACCCCGCAAAAAAATATTTTGGCACCTCAATATTATTATTCTTTTCTGAATTGTTTTTTGTGAGTTCGTTGTAACGTAAGGTATTGACGTGAGGATGCGATGGGAAGGTAGTCTCGTTCCCTCAGGACGACCATGGCTGACCGCTCCTGGCGATCAATGTGTGCCTAGTAACCGGCC